ATTCTGGCCACATGACCCGGAAGCTGTCCCATATTGACCTTGGCCAATAAAGCGAGATAAGCGCCGCAACCCCAGAGTCGGCCACGACTGGACCTAATGGTCAGGGGTCCCTTTACCTTTACTGTATATGCCTTGATAGGTAGCCTATATGCGAAGAAAAGGTTTTTTTTTAAAGGGTGTGAAAGGATTTTGTTAGGAGAATCTGCTTACTCAGACTGTCTTGAGACTGTGTCAAGGATGTTTGTGCAGGAAAAATTCAGCCTTGAGCTAGCCAGACAAAGAAGAGACACCCTGTTCTTCTTGCTAAATCAGACATCCAGCCTTGATAATGCAGGCATGCTTTTCCTGAGAGAACATGACTTTATTTACCATACTTTTAAGACTAGGTTTTTTAAAAATAAAAAAAATGTTAAAAAAGGGGGGGGGTAGTCTTATACACGGAGGCAATCTCCCCCCCCCCATTTTCTTAATTTCCCCCAAAATAGGAGGCGTGTTATACACGGGGGCATGTTAGAAAGTGTGGGAGTGCCTCTACGTAAGTGTTGGATTAGGACCCAAGAGACCAGGGTTCAAATCCCCACTCAGCCATGCCACTCTTGATTAGGGGAACCTTCGGCCAGTCACCGCCTCTCGATCTAACCTACCTTACAAGGTTGTTGTAGGGATTAAATGAGGAAGAACTATGTGTGCCACCTTCAGCTCCTTGGAGGAAAAGGTGGGATATTAATGGAATAAACAGAAAATGTTTACCTCTCTCCAGGCTAACTGTGAGCGGTAACTGAGGTCAGCTAGTGAAGAAAGGTTTCAGCGTTTGGGACTTTTTAGGCGAGTAAGAGACAACATGATACAGGTTTATAAAATCATATATGGCACAGAGAAAGTGAATAGGGATCCCCCCCCCGGTCTCATAACCCTGGAACTTGTGGGCATCTAATGAAGCTGAGCGTTGAAAGATTCAAGACAGATCATAAAATTGCAGAGTTGGGAGAGACCTTGAGGATCATCTAGGCCAGGGGTCAGCAAACTTTTTCAGCAGGGGGCCGGTCCACTGTCCCTCAGACCTTGGGGGGGGGGGAGACTATATTTTTTTGGGGGGGGGAATGAACAAATTCCTATGCCCCACAAATAACCCAGAGATGCATTTTTAATAAAAGGACACATTCTACTCATGTAAAAACATGCTGATTCTCGGACCGTCCATGGGCCAGATTTAGAAGGTGATTGGGCCGGATCCAGCCCCCGGGCCTTAGTTTGCCTACCCCTTGCAATTCAAGAATATGCAGCAGCTGTTCCATATGGGGATCGAACCTGTAACCTTGGTGTTATCAGCACCACGTTCTAACCAACTGAGCTATCCATAAAATAAAGGACTTCTTGCAGAGCATAGTTAACCTGTGGAACTCACACCCACAGGAAGCAGTGACGGCCACCAACTTGGATGGGACTAGGTGGGCCATTGGCTTGATCCAGCAGGCTGTTCTTATTTTCTTGTGAATCCCAGCCCGTTAGGTTCCAGATGCTTTTTGGACCGGAAGAACAATCTCCAATGGCACTTACTTCGTAATCTATTCCGACGCGGTTCAAGGCAATGTTGATGGTGAAAGTGGAGGCGTCATGGTGCGGCATCAGCGAAGGCTGCTCATCGGGTTTGTACCGGACGACAAAGGCCAGCTCAAACTGGGTCTGTAATGGGGAGCGGACAGAACATCATGAAAAGGGCCACCATGCCAATTGGAATGAAGACAGAGCGTTGTCAGGCTCAGGATCTGTCTATGGCAAGGCAGCAGATTTCACCGACATGCAGAAGAGTGGCATCGCTGATTCAGTCGTCAGTCTCACCTCTCCCCATAAGCTTTGTGCAGCCACTAGTAGAAACATAGAAACATAGAGTTGGAAGAGACCACAAGGGCCATCGAGTCCAACCCCCTGCCAAGCAGGAAACACCATCAGAGCACTCCTGACATATGGTTGTCAAGCCTCTGCTTAAAGACCTCCAAAGAAGGAGACTCCACCACACTCCTTGGCAGCAAATTCCACTGTTGAACAGCTCTTACTGTCAGGAAGTTCTTCCTAATGTTTAAGTATATCAAGATTGTTTGGCACTTTTGTGTGTTTTTTTTGGGGGGGGCAATCAGGTTGCAAAGCAGCTTGAGGGAAGGGAGGGTTTGAGACGTCACAGCCGCCAGCCAGCTAGTGCTGTGCTCTGCTGGCTTCTGCAGCAAACCCTGCAGAATTGATTCCCCCACCCACCGAACGTTGACTAGTTGGAGAACAAGCTGAAGCTGAGTGGCAGAGGATGTGCTTTGCATGGAGAAAGACCCAAGTCTTCCTGGGAAAATCTCTTGCCTGAAACCCTGGTGAACTCTGCTGCCAGTCAGTGCCCAGCTAGATGGCCCGATAGCCTGAGTCCATATAAGGTGGCTCAGGAACACAGGAACCTGTCTTCTACCTGGTCCATCCAGTTCAGTATTGTCTACACAGACTGGCAGTGGCTCTCAGACAAGGGAGATTCCCAGCTCTACCCGGAGCTTGGAACCTTCTTCATGCCAAGCAGGCATTGAGCTACAGCCCTCGATTGTGCCACTGTATACTGAGTTAGACCAATTGGCCCATCTAGAACTGTCTGCACTGGCTGGCAGTGGCTCTCTGGGGTTTCAGAAAAAGTTCCCAGTTCTGCTTGAAGATGCTGAAGGCTGAACCTAGGACCTTCTGCACGCAAAGCAGGTGCTCCACCACTGAACTATGGCCCTTTTCTTAAGACACAGGAAACCGTCTTATCCTGAGTCAGAGTATTGGGCCATCTAGTTCAGTATTGCATGCACTGACTGGCAGCAGCTCTCCGGGGTTTCAAGAACGAATCTTCCCCAGTTTCACCTGGGGATTGAAGATGAGACCTTCTGCATGCACAACAGCTGCTCTACGGCCCTTCCACAGCACAATGCCTCTTGGGGTTTTAAAAACGCATCTGTGGCGTTTGCCCTCCTAGGTGACATCATGCTGGGTCATAAGGAAAGGGTTAAATGTGTGTGAAGTGATTGGCCAGTGGGAACCCAAGGGGAGGAGTTAGCGTTAGTGTTGTTAAGGGTCAGTCGGGTGTTAGAGAAGGGAGAGTGAGGATACATCTGTGGGTTGGGATAGTTTCATGTGAGAGAGTGAGAGAATCTGTTATGAGGAGTCAGATAGACAGTTGGGATAATCAGTTAGAAGTTATTAGGAAGGTATAGGCCGGTAAAGAAGCTAAGATTAAGAAACTGACAAGAAAAATTATCTGAAACCATAAACCTGTTCAGGCTTATAAAATAAACTTGTTTATTTGGTTTAATGTTAACAACTGTCTGGACTCTGTGTGTACGCGAGAGAAACGGGTTGGTGGCAGCGGGGAAGCAATCACAGTGGTGGCACAGGGATCAATAGACCGTCAAACGTCCGGGGACCCTGTGTGATCGCCACAGCATATTTGTGCATATTCCAACCTACCTCCTCTCCCTGTAATTACTTCCCACGGCCAGCAATTACTTCCTATGGCATCCCCCCCCCTTCACCAACTTAGGGTCTCCAGTTCAAATCCTGCTGCAGGAACCAATTCCTGTTGATTAGATTCTGGATGTTCTCAGAACGACAGATGAGCCGATCCTTACCTTGGTGTAGTACCCAGGGTACAGCTTCTCCGTAATGGGGGCGATGTACTCCAGGAGAAACTTGTACCACTCCCGTTCAAAGTTGATCTGGTTCATGTGGATATCGATCGTCGGGACATTTTCGTATCCTCCCAGGATCCGGGTGTCCTGCCAGGTGAAGAAGAAGAAGAGTTTGGATTTGATATCCTGCTTTATCACGACCCACTTAACACACCTTCATGGCCTAGGTTGAGCCTCGAAAACTTTGAGGATACACATAGCCGCTATCACATTCTTTAGTAGACCCATGTTTTTCCACCGATTCGTGCTGTGACTTCATGGTCCGCAGGGCAATTGAAGGTTGGAGTTGACTGCAGCCTCCAAGTAACAAAGGCCGCAAGCCTATTTCTTACGAGCTGCTGTCCCAAATCCGTATGAAACTTAGGTCAATTTGCTGGTCCAAGTTCGAGGCCCGGGTGTTCTCTGCGGCATACGTTATAGCCTCCTTTAGGCCTGCCCCCCAAAACGTTAAAGATACACGTAGTCGCCATCAGCTTCTTTGTAAAGCCATGTTTTCCTCCGACCCGTGCAGTGACTTCCTGATCCGCAGAGCTAATGAAGGTTGGGGTAAGCTGCAACCCCCTAGAGCCGAGGGCCATAAGCCAATTTCTTACAGGCTGCTCTCTCAAATACACATAAAGCTTAAGTCGATCTGTTGGACCAAGTTTGAGGCCCGCCTCTTTTCCGCAGCATATGCTAAGCCATTTTCTTACGGGCTGCTCTCTCAGATATGCACAAAGTTTAGGTCAATCTGCTGTACCAAATTTGAGGCCCGCCTTTTTTCCGCTGCATATGCGATCGCCTTTTGGCGCCTTGAGGGTCGGTGAAGTAGTAGCCGAGGTTATTGCAACTGGGTCTACGTGCGGCCTCCTTACGGAGGATGTGCAGTTGTCCGAAGCTAGCACGACGGTGCGGATACGTCAATCCAAAACGGATCAGTCAGGTAGGGGTTCCCTTGTAAAACTTACAGCTTCAGCGCAGCAGGGCCCATGCCCAGTCAAGGACACTAGATGGTACCTTTACCTCAGACTGCCTGGTCCTGGCCTGCTCCTAGTTCACGAGGATGGGTCACCTTTGTTGAGACACCAATTCACAAGGGTACTCCGCAAAGCTATTGATGCCTGTGGTTTATCTTCCCAGGATTATGCTGCACACTCATTCAGGATTGGCACCGCCACAACAACTGCACGCTTGGGCCTGCCAGTGGATATGATTAAGGAAATGGGCCGGTGGAAATCCGACGCTCATAAAGGTTACATTCGTTAGAATGTGCTCTGCTCCATTACCTCTACTTACCCGTATTTTTCTTTCCTTTATTCTCAGCCGTTCTCAGAAGTGTCTGGATTTGTGGCCATGGTATAGTCCATTGGGCCCGCGTATGGTCGGTTACCTGTGGCCTTACCCCTAACCTTGGATTGCCACCTGGAGTGCAAGTTTCCTGGTTTTCGAGACGAGACATGCGTTGGGAAGAGCTTATGCCATTGCGGAGAGGGAGAGTTGCCGCATTTGGCCCTCCTGACATCCTTATCCTTCAAATGGCCTTGTTAGCAGAAGAAGTGTGGACTTGTCGTGGCACATAAAAAGAGATTTGGATGAGATTGCTGCCTTGTGTCCCGGAACAACGGTGTTCTGGTCCTTCTTCCTGAAGAGAATTGTGTGGCGCGGTGCGCAGAACTGTATGGCCATTGAAAAATCCAGGAAACTCTTAAATCGTGCAATAGCCCGTTGGGTGCGCTTTATGTATGGCCGAGTCATCTCTCATGACTGTATCCGGATTGGCGACCAAGCCTTGTACCAGAATGATGGGGTTCATCTTTCAGACCAAGGGAATGACATTTGGTTAACTAGCATCATCAGCAGCATCAGGGATTGGTTACAGCTGTGAGGGTATTGGCGGCGAGCCCCTTTTGGGCTCGGGTGGCGGTTAGGCATTGGAATAATGTGTTGTGGTGTCGAAGGGCTAGGTGTGGCCATCGCCTATGCCTTCAATTTTTGGGTATTCCGTTAAAGGAATCTGGCGGTCGTGTATTCTGTCTGATGCCTGCTTGGCGGGAGGCCATGGCACGACCCTCAGTGACATCATGGGAGAGCCTATAGTTGGATTAGCATCAACAAGCTCCACCTACTGGTGAATAAACCCACTTTGTTTCTGACTCACCCCTCTCTGAGGGGGTGGAGTCAGCTGACGTAATCCAATGCCTAAGCCAATACCTTTTCACTTGCTGTAATCAATAAAGTTGTGGCCTTTTCTTGCCCATTAACCTTATATCACGTGTCCTTGGTTTCATTCCACTGCACGGGGTACGGGTTCTCGAACCACAAAGACTCTCCTCCCTGCAAGAGAGGGGAGTGGTTGTGGCCGGGAGTCGGACTCTGCCTCAAGCAGGGGGTGTTTGCCCCCTGTCTCCCACTCACCTGGCTGGCGCCCACGCCCTCGGCCAGGCACCCAACCAGGTGCCTTCAAGGGGGGCGTGTACAGCAGCCTAAATTGCTGCGGCGCCAGCCTCCAGCCCTCACTTTTCGTTGTCCTGTCGCGAGTCACCCACCCTCCACTCCCTTAGAGCAGGGTTCCAGTTTTCTTTTGGCTTTGCTATGGACCTTAGGTTGGTCGCCCTGGTTGTTCGGGGGGCCTGGTAGGAATTTTTCCATTTGGCATTAGGCTTTTTGGTTTTTTTGCCTACCTCGTAGCAATCGTCACAACTTTCGTGGTATTGGTGGGTAGGTTAGGCATTGGAATAATGTGTTGTGGTGTTGAAGGGCTAGGTGTGGCCATCGCCTATGCCTTCAATTTTTGGGTATTCCGTTAAAGGAATCTGGCGGTCGTGTATTCTGTCCGATGCCTGCTTGGCGGGAGGCCATGGCACGACCCTCGGTGACATCAGGGGAGAGCCTATAGTTGGATTAGCATCAACAGGCTCCACCTACTGGTGAATAAACCCACTTTGTTTCTGACTCACCCCTCTCTGAGGGGGTGGAGTCAGCTGACGTAATCCAATGCCTAAGCCAATACCTTTTCACTTGCTGTAATCAATAAAGTTGTGGCCTTTTCTTGCCCATTAACCTTATATCACGTGTCCTTGTGTTTCATTCCACTGCACGGGGTACGGGTCCTCGAACCACAACTTCCGTTTGTATATAGCTTTTGTGTCACTGCTGTTTTGCTGGACACAAAGGGAAGCAGACATGTTTTCCTTTGTTCCTGAACTATGCTGAATAAAATGCTGTACATTATGCTTACACATTTCTCTGTCTCCCTCTTCTGCTGTGAGAAGATTTATTCACTCTGCTGATGGAGCATGCACGGCCTATAAAAGTATCTGAGGCTTGTGTCGCTGATTGATGCTGTTCCAAGGGAGACCGCCAGCTGGCCGGTGGCTGGAGCCAGCTGGGGGCCTGCCTGATGCCCCCGTCTTCCCGGCAGTATCCCAACATACTTCAGACCCCTCTCCCCATTTGATCGCAGCAACAGTGGGAGGCTAATGGGTGACGACTGGCCCAAATACACTAAGGTTACCAGATTTTTTTCAATGAATCCAGGGACACTTTTCAACTTCAATAGGAATGATAGGATTTTCTCAGGGGACTGATTTGTAAATCCGGGGACTGTCCCCGGGAAACGGGGACGTCTGGTAACCTTAAAATACGCCCAGTAAGAATGTAAGCAGAGCCTACTGGATGAGGCCAGTGGCCTGTCCAGTCCAGCACCTTCTTCTCACAGTGGCCAACCACATGCCTGTTGTGGGGAGCCTGCAAGCAAGACTCAAGGCAATAGCACACTCCCTTCCTGTGGCTTCCAGCTGATGGTATCCAAGAGGATTCCTGCCTCTGACTGGAGAGAGAGCATAGCCAGCTTGCCTAGTAGACCTCCTCCACAAACTGGTCCTTTTTTTAAAGCCAACCAAGCTGGTACCCATCACTTCCTCCTGCAGAAGTGAGTTCCACCGTTTGGGTACGGGGAACTCAGCATCCCCACTGCGAGCCAATGGTTTTTGAGGGTTTGCTTCAGAATGATGCTCTCTAGAAGCTTATTCCTTTCTGTGTGTACAAGGAAAGCCAGACCTCAGAAGTCTGCGAAGGATACTGTCTTCTCGGGGGACTAAAGAACCCTTATTTGATCCTTCGTCGTACAGCTGCAGAACAGCTGAAGGAATATATATTGTCTCTAATCCCTAAAATATATGAGGCAGAATATTCACATCTGTGCTCCTGAAAAATGTGGAGTGGCTTGCATTGCACTAGCCCTGTATAATTAAGTGCTTTTGAAAGGTTATTTTTAAAAATAATAATAGAACCACACCCTTGTCTAAATGATTTGTGCTCATACCTTTGTGGACCCACACAGTTCAACATTTGATCAGAACTGTTGCTTCAACAAAATTATTATACTGTTTATCCTAGTATTTTTGTCACTTGGTATTTCAAGTTACTTTTCAATGCTGATTTGCATTACCTAACTGATGCAGGCTAGAGTTTCAAACTGAATTACTACCAAAATCAAAAGGGCCTCCCATATGAATGCTTCCTATTCTGTTAACTGCCCTGAGACCTCCGGGTATAGGGTGGTATATGCCGTATTTTTCCATCTATAAGATGGGGGCAACTACCAATCGCCAGTCCATCCTCGGCACTATCCGTGTATAAGACGCCCACTGATTTTTGACAATATTGTTTTTTGGGGGAAACCTAGTCATACACGGAAAAATATGGTAAATTCAATATATAATAATAATAATATTATAATATATTTCCTTCAACCAACTGATACAGAAATGGAAAAAATACAGTTCGCACAGAATGCTTTATCTAAGCAGAACCAAAAGAGAGGCAAGTCTGAGCTGTGTGCTTCTACAGTGAGAAAGATCTAGGCTTTCTTTTTAAAGCAAAGATTCTTAATTGCTTTAGGTGGTAGTCCCTTTTCAGACTTCTTTTTTAAAAAAAAACACACACCACATTTTGCTTAGTGATGAAGAGTTCTGCATAGCACAGAAGTTTGCATGGAACTGGCTCCCATAAGAGGCAGGGGCGGCCAAGCAGCCTAGATGGCTTGGAAAGAGGACTGAGCAAATGAGCAGAGGGCTATGCACTGAATATTCCAACATTATTGGATGCCCATGAGCTCTAGTGTTATGAGAAAGGAAGAAAATCTTTTTCATATCCGTTATCTCCAAACCGTGCGTCATTTTACAGCGGAACCTTTAGTTCTGGGTACGTAAATTTCGGGTTACGAACACGGCAAACCTGGAAGCGTATACTTCTGGGTTTCGCCGCATCCGCAGAAGTGCTCAATTGCGCCGTGCGCATGCACAGAAGCGGTGTCTCTGCCTACAGATTTTTCGGGTTGCGGACAGACCCCTGGAATGAATTTAATTCATATCCAGAGGGTCAACTGTATAAACTTCTATCCGATGAGCTTCATAGCTGAGTGGGGATTCGAACCTCAGTCTCTCAGGTCTTCGTTCAATTATTTTATTGTTGTTAGTCGCTCTGAGCCCAGCTTCGGCAGGGGAGGGCGGGATATAAATAAAATTATTATTATTATTATTAATTTTAACCCAGAGATACAAACAAGCAGAGCTCGGATTCAAACAATTACAGTGGTACCTCGGGTTAAGTACTTAATTCATTCCAGAGGTCCGTACTTAACCTGAAACTGTTCTTAACCTGAAGCACCACTTTAGCTAATGGGGCCTCCTCCTGCTGCCACGCCGCTAGAGCACAATTTCTGTTCTCATCCTGAAGCAAAGTTCTTAACCTGAAGCACTATTTCTGGGTTAGTGGAGTCTGTAACCTGAAGCGTATGTAACCCGAGGTACCACTGTATTAGAATCCTTCTTTTAAAATGCATCTGTTAATGAATTTGGTAGATTTACCACCAAGGGCTGCCTTACCGTGTTGCCTCCCTTGGACCACTGGCCAAAATTCTCCATCTCTTCTACGAGTTCATCGCAAGCTGCGTTGGTAAATATCGGAAACCAGTAAACATCCGGGCAGGGCTAGCAAGACAGAAGAACCGTAAGAGCTTAGGGAGTATGAGAGGAAGGGCAAAGGAAAACGGAAATAAAGACCAAAACAGTCAGGGTTCTGGATATTTCAGGAAGCATCACCTCTTGTATGAAAACAACCCACCCCACTCCTGACCCCCCACAAAGGTTTGAGAACCTATAATGAATCTCCATTGCAAACGTTGCTTTTTTGTTGTGTATGTTATGTCACAGTCACTAGCCAATCGTCACTAGCCAATCAGTGCTGGGCAGAGCAAATGAGGGCAGAGGAAGATGAGTGAATCTCTTGAGAAAGGGAATTCCAAAGCTCCAGGGCAATCACAGAAGAGGCACTGCTACTATGTGATTGCCCTCTGGGGTGCTTTTCCTTGGGGAGTTCCATTCATCTCCTTTTCTGTCACTCATCCATCGGCTGACTAAGATGAATTTCTTCCATCATTTTGGCTCGTCCACACTTCGGCTTGTGCCGTGCCTAGAAAGCATGAGTCCCCTTGCCCTGCTGCTTTCCAAGGCAAAAGCTGCTCTTTCGCGATCAATTGGAACAAAAGGCAATCCGGGGGAAACCCGAATTACTGTTTGCTCCAATTGAGCGCTAAAGAGTGGTTTTCCCTGGGGGAAAGCAGTAGGAGAGGAAGTGTGGTAACTCTCTCTCTCTTTTTTAAAAACATTTTGATTTCTATTTTCATACATTGTTTTGATTATTTTCTCTTAATCGTATACTGTGTATCGGATTAGCAATGCCTTGTTGAAAAGCGTTTTCTTTTAAACTTGGTAAATAAACCAATAAATGGCAGGCAACAAAACATCTCAGAAATAGATTGCGAAATAAAATATCGTGAATTCAGATACTTATGTTGAAGGATTTATAACCCACCTTTTTAAAAATCCACAAGGCAGCTTAAAGATAAGAAATATGCTCTTGAGACACAAGCAATATAAAATAAATTCCC